TTTTTTTTTTTTTTTTTTTTTGCCACGCCCGAGTGGCCAGTTATGAAAATCTTCCTAGTTTTATTTATTTATTTATTTATTTATTATATTATTTTATCATTATTATTATTATTATTTATTATTATTAAATTTATTATTATTATTATGTGTGTTTGTGTGTGTGTGTTGTGTGTGTGTGTGTCTGTGTGTGTTGTCATATTCGCTATACACTCAAAAAAAGCATGACTGTACCAGATCATGAAAATCTTCCGAGTTTTATTTATTATTTATTTATTTATTCATTATTATTATTTTATGAAACGGTATTCACCAGTTCGAAGTAGCTGATGTAGGACCCAGGGTTCGATCCCTAGTTCCCCAACTTACCTGTGTACAATACCTGTGACAACTTGAAGAATTGAACCTGCGACCTGTAGAACCGCCAGTGGTAAGTAGGTCTGTCGTAGGTCTTTAGGTAGCCAGGATTTGATCCATAGACCTGTAGAGTAGAAGTCCAGCTGCAGTCCTTCTAGAAGGTTGGCAAGTGGTCAAGTGGTGTGACTAAAGCAAGCCCATGTTGGAGACGAGGACAAGTGGCAAGGGCAAATAGTAGGACCCCAGTGCAACTGCACTGCGTCGTAGGGTTGTCACTATGCAGTCATGGGAAAGTCTAGAAAGTACCAGTCCGGTCCAGCAAGTACCACGGGGGGGACTGTGTGCATCGTGGGCCAGGGATACAAGGCAGACCAATGCAACACAGAAGTATAAATCAAGAGGCTGCGTCCAGCCATTCATTCATTCCTGCGGAAGCTCTGCGGAAGCGCTGCTCGGGCGTCTTGTGCAAGGGAGGTCTGCAGATGGCCTGAAGACGAAGTGGGCAGAAGTTAGTGATAGGCTAGKTAGCTGTTAGTGGCCATGCGCCATAGCCATAGACAGTTAGTGAGTGTGTATGTGTGTGTGCAGTGGTTGGCGTGCATGGTATCCAGGGTGATCCGGAGTCGAGTTGCGTGTGAACTCTGAGTCGAACGTGTAAGTGAGGGCGCCCAGCGCCATAGCCAACTGAAGTGAACTTGGATTTGAGTTGAGTTGCAAGCTACCATATCTCCGAGTTTGAGCTGGGTGCACAGCGCCAAGTTATTCTCATCTGTTGCATGCATGTTTGAGTGTGAATTTGCAAGACTGATTTCATTTATTACTTTTATTTATATATATTACCGGGCAGTTCTATTTGACGATATATATCGTCAAATAGAATATTTATTTATTATTATTATGTGTGTGTGTGTGTTGTGTTTGTGTGTGTCTGTGTGTGTTGTCATATTTGCTATACACTAAAAAAAAAGCATGACTGTACCAGACTGTTTCGTCGGACTTTCACCGACTCATCAGGAGGTTGAACCCCAACAGTCTGCCCAGGATGCATTTGACTGATGGATAAGGACTCGCCACATCGCGCAGAGTTAGCGATAACCCCCGAGAAAAGTGGCCGACTTTACTCACAACAACCTTGCAATCTGTGTGTGTGTGTGTGTGTGTGTGTGTGTGTGTGTGTGTGTGTGTGTGTGTGTGTGTGTGTGTGCGTTGCTCGTGTGTGCTGTATGTTCGCAATACACCACTCCACAAAGAAAGCATAAATGTGCCGGACTGTTTCATCGGACTTTCACTGACTCATCAGGAGGTTGAACCACAAAAGTCTGCCCAGCACGCATTTGACGTAATATGTGTATGTAACACACTCGCATTCATGCGCACCACATCACATCTTTGTCCCAGGAAAATCTGTAACAGGCAGTCAAGTTGAGTCAACTGAATTCATATTTCTTACGAGTCCATACAGCTGACTTGACAGAATGGCTTCGCCCAATGGTCAATATGCTTCAATCACTGGTCAATGACCTGCAATAAGCGTTGCAGCCTCAGGATGACTGCTGGCAGGCCAACCTAAGTTACCTAACGCTACATATCCCCTTCCTGCCCCCCAAGGTTCTTGAAGGGAAAACAAACTTGCAGGAAAAGAAACTCATAGTACCTTAGAGAGGAACAGTGCCAAGACAAGTGCATAGCCTTCAAACTCGAAGTACTTAGCTCCACCAGCATGCTCAATAAAGCGATGTAGAAGAAGAGGGCCGGAAAACATCACGCATGTACTCGTAAATCTGAGAAACCCTGCCACCTGGGGATCACATGACCATAATAATCAGCAATATGTGTCAATAAGTTCTTATGGTGTTCGGGGCCATTTGCTACTGAATTCAAGTGAACTCTATGTGACTCAGACGAACAGGAATGTGTGCGCAGATGATCAGCACAAAATTCAATGAATATCTTTTCTTCCAGCCGTAAAGCTTGATAAAAGAAACATGCAGCATGAGAGCATGGGGCAGCAGCGGTGAGAGAGTGTTGGGAATAAGCCATACAAGCAGATTGGTGAATGGAGGAATCCATCATATGTGTCCATGAATCACAATAAGAAAAGGACAAGATTGAAGAATCACAACAATATTGGCTGGGTAAGAACATGGAGGAAGTTGTGGTCAAGATGAAGGCAGTGAGGGCAGTGAAGGAAGCGAGGAGAACTAGGCAAAACTCCACCTGAACTAAAAATCAGCCCCTCCTCTGAGTGAACCAACCAGATCCTCAATGGAAGGCACGTGAGACGAGGGGGCTGAGAACAGAACAAAAGATTTAAGCCCACCACAGAAGAAGACATTCTAAGTGAAATTAGAAAGCAACCTGAATTGACATGTGTGTCATGGAATGTGAATGGTCTGGCTTCGGTCCTGGACAACCCAGTCGAATGGAGAAATCTAACAAAAGCCATAGGCTGGTTCGACCCAAACCCTCCAGATATCGCATGCTTACACGAAACACACATTGCAAACAGCTCAGAACACCAAAGAATTTGAACGACCTTAGTGAAGAAGCTGGTACACGCGGTTGGATTTCGGAGTCTTGCTGCCGCGCTCGCGCCCTCGGTTAGCGCAGCTGTAGCGGTCGTTTCGTGCTCGAGCTGCCCCCCGTGTTCGATTCGAAAAAGGCACCCGCTAGATGCTGCCAAGCCATGCCAGGACAAGACGCCCACCTCCGGAAGCCATATAGCCTTGAGGGCGCTGTAAGAATCCCCCGCGTCCGCGCCCGGCGCACACCCCTAGGGCTAACTGACCAAGCCGGCTAACTGACAAAGGCGGCTGTGTCTCTATCCTATGCCACGGAGGACACAAACTGGATGCAACCTCGACACAATTTCAGGACCTGCTCAGTATCTGACCCTAAATCAGCTCCATGTGAAGACGACAAGGCTCTACTTTAGACCACGTTCTGGAATAGCAGCGGAGCTCGAGCAGACCACCAACGTACCACGGACAAGACACCTTCCACTCCATACATGAGGACAAGATCCCTCCCAAGGAACATCGCGAGATCAGGGCAAAAGAAAAAAAACAGAAAAAACTAAAAAAAATGATCTCCAATGCACTTTCCAGGGTTGAGGAGGTTAACCAGGGCTGAAGAGTGGGGGTCCCTGTAAACCGCTTATCCAGCTTCTCATACTGCCACTCTCCACCCCCTCCCCACCTCCCCCTCCCTCCTTGATTAGCAACCCATCACCCGCCTAGCTGCCAGCCTACTCCCTGGCTTTACCTCACTGGTCATTACCCCCCACGAGAGTATATAAACACTCACACAGAAAGACAAAAAAAACCAAAAAAATAAAGGAGAAGCATCCGTCAGTCCATCCATGTCACGCCCACTATCCTGGTCAGACCAAACAGTCTTTTTCCCTAGCATACATTCTCCCACTCCCCTCTCCCCAACCTCACCTCAGGGCGCCCCATCAGCACTCGACTCTTCACCCCACCCCACACATGCCGTCTATTTCACCCCTCTTTCGTCTCTGCCCTTTTCTCTCTATCGTTTCTCCCCAGTTAATCCCCCTACTCATTACCACATCGGGTTTCTCCTATACTGCACATTGATCTCCATCCTCCCATTCTGCCCAGTATAACCCCACAGTCACTCTTCCCCCCTCCATCCAGAGCCACCCACCTCCCTCGTGATCCCATACTTCATTATCACACTATCTCAAACCGTCACTCCACCAGATCTCTCGTCCACTCTCCTCCTCCATTCCTCTCTACTCGCCTACCAGATAAAACGTACGATATACTGTTTCGACCTATCGGTTTGTAATCATTAAATAAAAAAATACTAAAATAGTTAATTAAACAAAAAGTAAAACCTCAATATTTATAACCGCGCATCAGCTTTTCTCCCGCCCCATCGTTTCAACCTTTCCCCCACTCACTCCCGTCACAGCCCCCAGTCCACAGATCGCATTCCCCTCTTCCCACCCTTTCTGGTTCATCCCTATACTACCCTGTCTCAACGCCTCCTCACATCTCTCATCTGCAACAAGGCTAGATCTTTCATCTCAGCAAGCAGTAATTAAAGAGTGGCCGACACAGCAGGCATGGCCAGTCGAACCACAGGCCGTGACGCGGCCTCCTTCAAACAAGCTGTTCAGAATGCCACCGCGACGCACCGCAACTCACAAATGGACAAGGCAACAGTGAACATCATTGATAATAAAGAACTCAAATTTCTAATTGAAAAAATAAAAGTTGAAGGCGAACCAATCACAGAAAAGCAGAACACGGAAGGGAAAAAAAAGAAGAAGTGATTGTATGTAAGTACCCCGACGGGAAAGTGCCCGAACTGGATGATCTCCATGAAAGGCACGGTGTGGTTTTCAATTTTACACGCAACGGAGCAGATCTCACGCCGGCAGAGAAGAGAGTGGATTATAAAGACAATCAGAAAGGAGGGAAAACTTAAACATATTGGGGAAGCCTTCTCTCTGCAAAATTTGGGTCGCAACAATATCATGGTGGTCTTCAACCATGAAGATCACTCACGGATCACACCAGAAATGCAGTCCAAGAACTGCAACGGATCGATCTGCATGATAACCAAATGGAAGAAACTGACTGCCCAGAGGAAAAATCCGACTTTCACGGTGTCATACAAACAAACATTGATGAAAGAAAAATTTTGGGTTCAGTTCGACAATATTCAAAGGGGATTCCATGGGGAGGCAGATGACCCCCCAACAAATAAAATCCTCAAATGGATCCTGCCGACTCGAGATTTTCTAGCACCTCACTGTGGCTCCATGACGGCCTTACTAAAAGTCAAAACAAATGACCCCCCAATTTTTCCACTGATGTGGAAATTTCAAATCGAGAGAAGAATATAAGAAGTCAAGCGATCTGTTTCAGATGTAGGGAAAACAGTCATATTGGAACCGAATTGCCCGAAGTTTCCGAAGCAGTCGAAGGAGCGGAAACTCCATCTTGAGGATACCCCGAGCAACTGGTTCATCGTAGATTCCAACTATGATGGTTGGGTGTTCGAAGACAACGTGGATGACCCAGATTGGGTGTGGTACTACACTGATCAGGAACCTTCAATGAAAAAAAACTACATTCTCTTCCATGCAGACAGCAGATGGCACAAGAAAGCAACAGACAATGCAACAGGGAACCCAACAAAAATAAATACCAACCCATTAATTGACTCTCGTGTGATTAGAGAAGAAAAAGTCAGGGAAGATCTGTTGTGGGACTTGGGTGCAGTCCGAGAACAGGCAGAACATGAATACAACAAAGAACCAGCAGCTCTTCAAGAAATGTTGAGATGGTTGGAACAAGAGGCCGAACAGAAAAGGGTCAGGACACAAACAAACAAGAAACGCACGTTGGACGAAGTAGAGTCCTAGGGAATGACAGAGATGGGTCTCAAGAAGAGGAAGGCAATGAACTTGGATGAGAAGAAGGGGACAGAACAAACCCATCCAAAGGAGGAAAGGAAAATTACGGTTTTCGATTCCCTCGACGACGATGCAAATAGCAAAGCAAGCGAGGACAATGAAGGGACAGGGGGGACAGCCATGGATAGTGCGACCGAGTCCCAACAGTCTCTTCAGTGGCTGAGGGAATACATCGAAAAGGCCAAGAGGGACAAAGAGCACACGTTTGCAATCAGGGCAGCTTGTCTCAAGCACATTGAGAGATCCCAAAAAAAAAAGGGAAGCATGGGACAATTGTTTTAAAAACCATTATGACACGCTAAAGGAGGAGAAGGTAGAGGAGTTTTCTAAATACACTCTTCAGGTATGCTGAAAAAAAGAGGGCAAGAGAATAAGGTTAGCAAACAAGGACAAGACAATCCTCGACACCAAGACCACTTTCAGGATGTGCGCCCAAAGAAATGGAAGACGGGGAAAAATCAGAAAAAAAAAAAGGAACCAAATTCAGATAAAACAGAGGCAGAAGAGGAATCAACACGCTCACTACTGGAAAAAGAAGTGGTTGTGGTGGTGGCCCAAACAAAAAAATTAATAAAGTGGAATGCAGAATACACACCAGAGTTCACTACCATTCGGCACATTGCCAATGGGGCACCACACGTGGTGGCCTCGACCAAATCAGCACGACCGACATTAATGGACACCCGCCCGCTGATTGTGGCCAGGTGCGTTGAGAAAGAGGGAGAATGGCAGATTGCCACAAATGTGTCCTTCACAATCCCAAGGATTGAGAAAGGACAAAATGTCGTCAGTATTCTTCAAGAAAAGGTAACAGAGGGCTACCTACTGGGCGTGTACAAAATAGTTACCCTGGATGTTGGTCATGAGGAAAGATCCTCCCCAGCTGGCCAGGAGGACCAGCAGGACCATCATATGGACCTAGAGAGACACTCCCCTCGCGCCTTCTCCCACCTGATTGCAAAGTTGTAAGAGGAAACCAAGTTGAAGAGTGGGATGATGTGGAGGCCATGGAGAACAGTGACACGATTCCATACAACGTGTTGGTGGGACCTGGCATTCCAGTGGAACTGCCAACGGTCTTGGTGGCACACCTCTTGACTTTTGGGATTTTGAAGGGAGACAACGATATGGACTCAAGAGCATTCCCTGCCTCTTCCTTGTAGCCTCAATGATGGAGATTTTTAGAAAAGGGGCAAGCGCAAAGGAAGACCGGGTGGATTGGAAGACACAACGGATAGTTATTAGGAACAAGAACATTAACGGTTTAAGAAATCTTGTTGACAAAAAAAAAAAATGAATGACATAATCGAAGGACTTACCGTTCACACAAATAAACTGGCAGATATCATATTGCTGCAAGAAACTCACCTCACCTTCTCAACAGAACACAACAGAATTTGAAAACTCTTATCAAGGAAACTGGGGGGAATGAAGGATGAATTATGGTCCTCGGATAATACATCAAGCACTCAAGGAACAACCATCCTTATACCTAAATCATCCCGCCTATACACGACAGGGTCGATATAGGCAAAGAGGCGATCACGGTAGACTGTAGATGGTGCCTTATGGATCTAAATTGGAAGGAGGAAGAGTTCAGAGTAATCAATGTTTATTCACCAAACGGCTCCTCCAACAGATCATCATTTATAACAAACATCGGCCATTTCATCCCCCCTCTGTCAGCCTGCATTTTGGCCGGTGATTGGAACGCAACTATAGACCCCACCACGAATCATATATCTAGGTCCTCGGATGGGTCAGCCTACACAGGAGGCGGTGCTCATCCAAAAGTTGATGATGGACTACAACCTAGTCAAATTGTACTGCACTTCGCATCTAGTGACAAAAGCTTTCACATTGGTTAAGAAGAACCATGCCTATCACCCCGCTTTCTCCTTCATTGACTACTTCTTGATCTCAAGGACACTAATGGGGACAACTAAAAGCGTTGAGAATTTGCCTCTCACATCGTACCCGGGTCTGGACCACAAACCCATAGAACTCGTAATCAGCTTTGAACAATACGTCAAAAAAGGGTCTAGCTTTCACAAACTCGACAATTCCCTCCTCCTGAGCCAAACTTTTCAGGTACGAGTTCAAGAGTGTTGGCAGAATTTGAGGGGTGCCTACCTACCCATACAAGATCGGTGGGAGTGGTTTCAGGATAGCTACTCCACATTATCACAGACGGTTGCTCGAATCTGAAGGAAATTAGCGACCGACAGGAAACAACGAAAGCAAGCATTGGAGACAATCCTGAAGATTGCGGAAACAAATCTGATTGATCTCTGTTGCACTTTACACACATTTTTTCGAAAAGGCATGATAAAAACTCACTATGTACAAGATCGGTGGGAATGGTTTCAGGATAGCTACTCCACATTATCACAGACAGTTGCTCGAATCTGAAGGAAATTAGCGACCGACAGGGAACAGCGAAAGCAAGCATTGGAGACAACCCTGAAGATTGCAGAGACAAATCTCATTGATACCTGCTACACTTTACACACATATTTTCGAAAAGGCAATAGAAAAATTCACTATATGGAGATGGTGGGAACTAAACGGACTACAAATAAGAGTCGGAATGAACGAGTACGAGCTAAGTGAGTCAATGTCTAAACACTTCTTCGCAAGAATCAAAGCAAACTCAAAGCCCAACGCAATAAAAAGCCTAAAAATCCTCTAAAATCCAACTGAAACAGTGACAGTCAATGAAGGAATGTTAAACGTAGCGAAGGAAGTCTACAAAGAGCTCTATCACACGAAGACCCCTATGCCTACTCAGCCCAACACCAGAGAGGCACGTACTAGGATGCTACAATACCTGGAACAAACAAAATCTCAAGAACAAGCAGAAGCTCTGGACAAACCCATCACCATGGAGGAACTGCAATTTGTTGTCCGAAGTATGAACAACAATAAGTCACCACGAATCGATGAGTTGACAAAAGAATTCTGGGAAAATTTATGACCACTCTTAGGAGCTGATCTGCTAAACTTCTAAAACGACAGCTAGCTTAGGGGGGAACTGGGAAACCTACTCCGTAGCAGCGTGGTGACATTGTTGTACAAAAAAGGGGAGAAAGAAGACCCATCTTGCTTCTAACCCTTCCCTATAAGATCCTAGCCAAAGCTCTAGCCTTTCGAATCCTAAACCTGACAGACAAATGCTCTCATATAGACCAAGCGGGCTTCATCCCTGGGAGGTAGATCTTGGACAACGTACTAACCCTCAACGAAGCGGCCAACAAATTCGAAGAAAAAAGGATAAACAAGGCAACTCTTTTTTTCGATGATGAGAAGGCATACAACCAGGTCAATTGGGCCTTTTTCAATGCAAGCATGAAAAAGATGGGAGCGGGCCGAAATTTTAGGAAGTGGGTGCGCATTCTATACAATGACGCCATAGGGTGCGTCCAAGTCAATGGCTTGCTCTCTGACTATCCAATCTCACGGTCAGTTTGTCAAGGGGACCCGCTAGCCACCCCCAATCTTCCTCTTCGTGATGGAAGCGATAGCCTCATTCCTACACAAAGATCCCTCCATACAGGCTACCAGAGGTCAATGTAGGAACAACCGACCACCTATGGTTCCCAACAGTAATAATGTTTGCAGACGATCTCACGGTCCTCATAAGAGCTTCAGACTCGTAGTTCAGCGCGTTAGTAAGAGCAATAGAAGCGTTCAGACTGGCATCAGAAATGAAGATTAATTGGAAGAAAACAATCGGCTGGTGGCTATCGAAGGAGGTTCCCCACCTTCAAGGCCCCGAGGCAGACATGACTTGGGAGACACCGGAGACCCCTACGCGATATCTAGGCATTTTGCATTGCTGCAAATATGGTGGGGAGTCATGCCGAAGAAGGTGGGTAGACCCAAATTCAAAGATGAGATATCGAGGCAACCCTTGTTTGGTAATCCGTGGGTGAGAGACGAAAGTGATCACCAACTATCCCTTAAGCCTAGAGGAAGGAGATGGCTATCGTGGATCAAACATGGAGTTTGGAAAGTGAGCCATCTGTGGAACGAGGAGAAAAAGGGTTGGGTGACAAAGCAGGAACTGACCTCCCAGCTCAAAGGATGTCACCGACGAGACGAGAACCTACAATTCATCCCAACTCAAAGGATGTCACCGACGAGACGAGAACCTACAATCAATTGCATCCCAGAAGGCTGGAAGGAGTTGTTGGGCGAAGCCTCAACCTTCAAATCCGATGAATGCGGAGTGTCAATTCTCCCATAAACAGCAAGGGTCAGACACCCTGGCTGTGTTTACCTCTTTCCCAATTACCCCCTCCAAGCAAGGCCTCCCATCTATCCTGAATAAGGACGTGGAAAGAATAGTCCTAAACCCTTTCGTTCTCATAAAAGTAAGAGTGTTGGGATCGTGGCCAAAAATAATCTTCAGAATAGATACAGCAATTCAAGACTTGGAATTTGATCCAGCAGCGTGGGCTTGAACACCAGATAGAAGCAGAAGTTTCAAAACGAATGTCCCCCAATCCAGGAATGTCAAACTGGGATACAACTGACGACTCAAACCAAAGGATCCTGACCCAACGATCAAGAACAGATGCCAAAAGTTATTAGGTTAGGATGCTAGTCAAATCCCACAAATACCATGGAAAAAAATCAAATCAATCTATCCGGTCAAAATCAGAAGCCTCCAATGGTTCATCTCATACGTGGCTCTACCGGTTAACGACTGGCTGCATATCAGAAGAAGTAACAGTTCAGATTTATGTGTCGTATGTTCAGACAATGAACCAGAAGATACGCTACATTGCGTGATATGCTGCAGAGAGGCGACGACATACTGGGGGAGGGCCTCAGATCTCTGGGATTGCCTCTTCTCGACTCCCCACCCTGAACACCCCATCCAACTCCTATGGACTAACATTCCAGCTCAATTCCAAGAGATTGAGAAAACACGGTTCGAAATGATAAGAAAGGTAACGTTGTGGTCCATCTGGAAGGAAAGGTGCTGCAGAACCATTGAGGGACTCTCAACTCCAAGGGAGAAGGTATGGGCATAGACAAGGACCTTGATTCAAGAAGAGATTCTTTGTAAGTGGCATAAGACAAAACACTCCATGCCAGATGACTAAGAGCAACGAAGAAGAATCAAGGGAGCAACGGAGAAGAATCAAGGCATAATTCACTAAGGTGTGGCTCGCAGAGGGCAAAGTACCAGAGATAAATGACCTTCGCATACGGTGGAAAGACTGGCACAACTCAGAAGCAGGGTGGAGAAGGGAGAGATCCCAGCCAGCAGATGGACAAGATCCATCACAGGCCACGTAATTTTGAAGGGCAAATTCCGAGATTGCATCCTCCGTACCTTCTTTTACCTTTCTTGCTCTTTATTATTTATCTGACAGGTTTATGATGTGGACCTGAGAGGAAAGGTGGAAGTAAGGCAAGCTGACAGTCAATCCTCCATGACGCCTAAGTAATCAATATTACGATCCTGGTCATTTCCAAAGTGCAAATTCACAATGAAAGACAATGCCACCCAATTGCGAAAGAAATGAAAGCACTTGCAAAGAGATAGAGACCAAAGGAGAGAGAAAGAAGAAGAAGAAGAAGAAGAAGAAGAAGAAGAAGAAGAAGAAGATGTACACCAGCAAGACCAATGACAATTCCCCCTTCTCTCTCCACCTTCCTCCCTTTCCTTCACTTCGCCAATCTTATTCTTCTCTCAATAATAATAATAACAATGAATGGATGAACCAGAATCAATATCCGAAGTTCCCTCTTACTGCTGACTCAACTCAACAACAACAACAACAACAACAACAAGTTCACCATAGCTATGGCTTCCCTCCTTCAGCCTCCTCTCTCATGCATAGGCTATGGCGAACTAATGAGGGCCTTGCCCTGATGTCCAAAGGACAACCCAAAGCAGCTATGGTGTTGCGCTGATGTCCAAAGGACAACCCAAAGCAGCTATGCCGCTGCTGACTGGTCCGCCATGCCTGACTCTGCCTCAAACTTCCTTGGTGCAGCACTACCCCAACTGGGGCCTTCCAGGTGCAGCGCCCAACAAGGTGATGGAGATGGTGTCTACCATAGCCATGTAAGTTCCTCGCCACTCTCCTCCTTCGCCCCCTTCTTCCTCCTCCTCAAGCTGGACTGCTCCCCATAGCCAGGCTGAGCTCCAGCTGCCCTTCACCTCCAAGCAGCGCTGTACTAGTCCAGCGTTGTGCTCCAGCAGCATGTCGCCAATCCTTGCACACCGCAAATGAGGAGGAGCTACTTGCTCCTCCGAAAGATATAGCGGCCTACTGGCCTCCTGGGCGGTGACTTCCTAGGCCGAGCGGCCTCCCAGCAATCTGTACCTCCTCCCTTTCGGAGGGAAACATCATTGCAGGCTCTGCTAACCTCCGGACAGGCCCTAGACCCGGGCTACTTGGACTGGTACCAGCCTACCTCTAGACTACCGCTACTGGGCCTCTAAAAATGCCAACTTTTTGTCTTCTTCTGCTCGGCCTCCAGTACCCAACACTTCTACCACTACTTCAGTGGTACCCGCCTACCTGCTACTTAAGTGTTTTTCCCCTCTGCTCTAAGTGTAGCGGGCCTACCCCCGCTACTCGAGTGTTTTTCCCCCCTGCAACCCTTCACAGTCACGGCCACAGGTAAGTACCGGCCCTGCGGGGCCTTTCAACCAACAAGTACCCTTGCGGGTCACACACACACTCAACCGACAAGCACTCAGACAGGCATGCAAACCAGCAGGCACGCACACACACACAGACATGGAAATCACATCAGAATGCGGGAATTTCAGCAAGGCATTCATTCCAGCAGCAAATCCCAGAAATCAGCAGTGTTCTCAGTCTGTGTTTTTGGCGGGTCATTACATCAATGCTGGTCAGTGCAATCAGACTCGTCTTATTCACACTTTTCATGCATGTAAACAGCATCACAGCAAACTGGCGACTAGCGCCCACTCAATACTCAGAGATATGGCTTCCAGATAAGAGTTCACTTTCAACTCGCTATGGCAACTCAGCGCCCAATCAACTCATTGTTCGCATACACTGGATCACCCTGGATATCCCACACACGTCACTCTGAACACTCACACGTACACACACACTCTTCCCACTAACTACAGCTATGGCAGCTATGGCTGCCTCTACCCTATCGCTATGCTAACTCCTCCTCTCTCGCCCACTGCGTCCTCCGGGCTCTCTGCAGACCTCCTTGCACAAGTCGCTGTGGCAGCGCTTCCGCATGGCTCACGCAGGAATGAATGAAAGGCTGGGCGCTGCCTCTTGATTTATACTTCTGCAGGTCGTTGGTCTGGCCCATTTCCCTTACCCCAAGTGCACACAGTCCCGTGCAGTACTTGCTTGACTGACTGGGGACTGGGACTGTTGACTCAGCAGGGTGGACTTCCCCCACTTGCCCACTTGCCTCACCACTTGACCACTTGCCTCTGCTTAAACGTGGGCAACTCACGAAAGGCCACTACTGGGACCTTCCGGAAGGCCGTTGACTTGGCTTTTCGTGACTGCAGCAGCTACGACTCTGACCCTTCTGGACTGTAGCAGCTACAACCTTGACCTTTCAAGAATACTACAGCTACGATGTCTAGACCTGACTAAGACTCCTATCCGACAGGTCTACAGATCGAACCCATGCTGCCTATGGACCCTACGACAACCTATCAACTATTACAAATACACTGGTCGCGGGTTCACTCCACAGGTCGACACAGGTACTGTACACAGGTAAGGTTGGGGTCTAGGGATCGAACCCTGGGCTCTGCAGCAGCTACTGCTAATTGGTGAATACCGTTTCACTCCTCCGAGAATAATTCCGTCCAAGGCAGGACCTTTACCTTTCTGTTCTCTCTCGTATGCTCTAACTATATCGGGAGCTGTCTCTAGAAGTTCTGATCTCGTAAACCAGCGGTCATCCTCCGGTTCTCGATATGCAAAGCGGACCTTGTACAGTTTCTGTGGACGACCTCTACCTCCTGTTCTAAACACATCCTCGTCTACAATGCCCTCTATGTCATAGCTCCCATCCATATCCGGAGGGATCATGGATCTTCTAGAAGGGAACTGTTGGCTTGTAACACATGGCAACAACTTTGAAGCATGGAACACAGGATATGTGTGGAGGTGTACTGGGATCTCTATAGTGTATGATGGTCCATCCTCTCCGCCCTTGACTTCTAGAAACGGCCACGGTCCTCTATATGCAGGCAGTAACTTCTGCGAGATGTTTTCTTCAAGCGCAAACTCCTTTGCCTTGACCCAAACTAAGTCGCCTACCTGAAACTGTGATGGGCGACGGTGCTTGTTAGCCTGTTCTATCATCCTATGCTGGGCCTTTCTGAGGTTCTCAACAACAGTTGCTAACTCTTTCTCATGCTGCAAAGCAAACTCCCTGGTTCCGGGCGGTAGTATGTGAATCTGATCCCGGTTCAGTCCTTCGAACGGTCTGCGTGGTCTAAAGGACTTGTGCAACTCATTGGGACTGCGGTAGGTGGATAGATGCACGCTGTTGTTGTAGGCACTAGCTACCTTAGGCAACATCTCATCCCACTTGATCTGATCTGGCCTAATGTACACGCGCAGAACTTGCTGTAGGATCTTGTTCATCTGTTCTGTCTGACCGCTGGTCTCTGGATGACGGCCAGATGACATTAACAACTTAGATTCGTACACTCTCATGAGTTCTTGCCAGTTCTGGCTGGTGAAGCGACTATCTCTATCGCTGACTATTGACAATGGGATTCCATGCTCACTAACCCAAAAGTCAAAGAACTTCTGTATCACTAAGTTTGTATGTGCCTCTACAAGCAAAGGAACAAAAACTGCATACTTACTAAACCGGTCAACTATGACCATGACTTGGCTTTTACCATGCCGGCTCTTGACTTGGGTGTCCATGAAGTCTATGGACATTGAGTCTCCCGGCTGAACTGGAATAGGCAAGGGTATGAGAAGACCAAGGGGTGCACGCGTAGTAGTCTTATTATGCTGGCATACTTTGCAACTGCGGACATACTCTATGCAGTCATTCTTCATTCCTGGCCAGGTATACGCATGCATTAGGTTGGCTAATGTCTTTTGCCAACCGAAATGTCCCTCAGTATCGTGGCATTCCCCTAGGATCAAACTACGGATCTCTTCGCTGTTGGGAACGCACAGACGGTCGAATACGTTAGTCTTCTCAAACAACAATTCGTCTGTAGTGCGGTAATCTGGTTCAGTCTCCGGGGCCTCTCTAACTCTCTTTAGGAGGTCGCTATAGATAGGGTCCCGCATACGCTTGCTTCACTTTCTCCTGCAGGTCTCTCCCTAAATCCAGATAGTGTACTATAGCTCCAAAGTAGTCTGATCTTCTACTCAGGGCGTCTGCAACTACGTTGTACTTGCCCTTTACTGGCTTAAGCTCAAAGTCATATTGGTCTATCTCTGCGGCCCACCTAGTCAACTTAGGTGTCATCTTGGCCTAGGTCTTTAACCATCTAAGAGTTTCGTGGTCTGAGTATACTTTGAAGTGCCTCCCAAGCAGATAATGCTTCCAGTGCTCTAAAGCCTGCCTGAGAGCGTAGAGTTCCCTTTCATACGCCGAGGTGGCTACCTTCTCTAAGGGCATCCTCGCTGACATGAACTCTACGGGTCTATAACCTTTGTCGTCATCTTGCTGCAACACGGCGCCTATCCCATACTGACTCGCGTCCGTGGTGACGACAAATGGCAACGACGGATCTGCAACTTTGAGGACAGGGTACTCTATTAACGCGCGCTTTAACTTCTTAAGCGCAGACGTACAGTCTTTGTCCCATTGCCAGATTGCCTCTTTCTTTAGCAACCTGCGCAAGGGAGCGGCGATAGTAGAAAAGTTCCTGACGAACTTTCTATAGTAATTGGCTAGGCCTAGGAACGATCGCAACTCTGTCAATGTGCGGGGCGTCGGCCAATCTCTAATTGCCGCGATCTTGCTGTCCTCTGGCTTAATGCCGTCTCCATCTAACACGTGGTCCAAGTACAAGACTTGCGTTTTGGCCCACTCGCACTTCTTTGCGTTGATCTTGAAGTTTGACTCTCTCAACTTCTCCAAGACCTGCCTCAGATGACCCTGATGCTCTTGGAGGGTCTTACTGAAAACTAAGATGTCATCTAGATAAACTACGATAAATCTATCCAACCAGGGTCTAAACAAAACATTCATGCAACGCTGAAACGTAGCTGGCGCGTTGGTTAGTCCAAAGGGCATCACTATGAATTCATAGTGCCCATACCTAGTCCGGAACGTAGTCTTGTACTGATCATCAGGATGGACTTCTATCTGATGATAACCAGACTTTAAGTCAATCTTAGTGAAATACTTACAACCCTGCACCCGATCAAGAAGATCGTCTTCACAGTAATCGCATTCAAACCCCTATAGTCTATACACATACGAAGCTCTCCTTCCTTCTTTGGGACGAACAGGACAGGTGCACCAAAAGGAGACGAGTTGGGCCTGATCCAACCTTTTTCGAGGAGCTCGTCTAACTGCTTGCAAAGCTCCTCTAACTCTCTAGGGGACATCCTGTAGACTGCACCCTTAGGAGTTCTACTGCCAGGCTCTATCCTGTGCTGGATGGGTCGCGACACTACTCCTGTCGGCGACTCAGTCAAATCTTTAAACTCTTCCAACAGCTTGGCAATTGTTGGATCTGTGGAAGTGACCTCTTCCTTAGCCTCAGTGATAGGTCTGACATAAACTACGAAGACCTGTTCCTCTAATCGCTCCTTCTTCACTAACCGCGCGAACACGGGAGCACTGAGACAGCAATGTGCCAAGGTGTTGTCCACACCTGACACATGAAACAGGCGGGCAGTCTTAAACTCGCTTGACGGGTTAGGGAGCCTACACTCATGCTCTCTCAAATGAAGTGTGGCCCCTGCTGCCTCTCCCCAATCCATTCCCAGTACTACATCAAAAGGAAGGTCATCCTGTACGAGGAGAGTCAGGGAATGGAGAACTTTATCCACCTTCCCATCTTTCTCTAGGCGAAAGTACGCCTGGACTCCCTCTACGTAGTCCTCGATTCGCATCGTGCGGTTGTCTGCGAGGACACTGACTATGGGGTCTGCTAACTTCTGGACTTTTAGTCCTAGCTTCAACTTCTTCAGCGCCCTACGGCTAATATAACTGCGGGTGGCCCCTGAATCTATAAGGGCCCCTACTCTACACCTGAAAACTTCTACATCTACCAAGATCAGTTGTCCTTTACTCTCTTTCTTCATCTTGGCCCAGACTGGCATTCTCTCCTTTAACTCTTCTGCCACACATGTGAAGGACGTGCCTAAAGAGACGCTAACATAGGCGGTCTCTGGACAGCTAGCTAGGCACGGGCCTGCAACCTCTGCCATAGGCTCATGTGGGTTGGGAGTGTCCTGTTCGCGCGCGCTCACTTCTCCACATGGCCTTGAAGTACGGGCAATTTCGACCCCTACTGGCAGCTCCCTTTTGACTGCTGGGCAGCCCAACGGGCCTGTCTATACTTTGGACAAAATTTTATTACGTGGGCCGGGTCACCACAAAACATGCACTGACCCAAGTTCACGCGTTCCTGCCATAACCCCTGGTCCAAGCCCAAGTCTTCCCAGGGCCTGCCCTGTGGCAAGCCTGGGTGTCATCCTCCATGAGGTGCCCTTCCACCTCGACTCTGTGGGGACCGATTACCCTGGCGATTTGGCGGGGGACCTTAACCCCTACCTCCCACTTGGCGGTTTCCTTGGCCGCCAACCCCCTGTGCGCCCGGTCCTCGACCTCCCATGGCCAAGCCCCTTTGGCCCTGGCCTCCTCCTCTACCTTGCGGCCTCCCTCCAGCCGTGACAGCAGCATAAGACCTCCCCTGTCCTACACTCCTGTCCTCTTCCTCTAGGCCCTACTCAATCTGACTATATGGGACCTCATCAGTACCACCCTCTAACGTCAGGATCATGTGACCCTTGACCTTGACTTGGCCAGAGATGGTACGCCCTTTCCACCTTTTCCCTTTTTCCAGGTCCTTATGCCAGGAAGTGGTAACTGGCATGGGCTTTGACTCATATAGGACGACTTCTCTACTTAATGCATCATGCATGATGCCGGCCTGTTGAGACTTATCAAAGAAA